AGGGAAGACAGAGGGGCCCTCTGAGCTCTAGATCTTTCTAATCTAGTGGTGCCTTTGGGAATTTCAACTAGGGTTCTCTGAAGCATTTTTGCATTTGAAATAAAAATACAGACGATGACCAAAATATATTTGTGTCATGAATAGCTTGACTTCTGGGGTTTTTTTTGATAGACGGGAAAGAGCTGCAGTTTACGAAGTAGCAAGACAGAGAGGAATCGAGTATTTTTTTCTATCGCAACAGGACATCGTATGTCCGGAGCGGACAAATATTTAATCCCAGAGGCCGCATAGGAAGTTTTGATGTGTTGTTGCGGGCCAGGTCAGCACCCCCTTATCCTCCACTGCAACAACTCACCATAACTCCCTATGTGGGATGGAGCGGTGGGGAGCAGTGTTTGGGAGTGGGACCAGCAGGCAAGGCCAGGGTCATGGGGCTAGAACCTGTAGCAGAACTGCAATCCTCTGCCTGCACACCCCTACCCTGTCTAGGGTTTGTTGTGGGGGGTGGTATATGCATAGGAGGGAAGCTGCCTGGATGCTATGCCCTGGGAGCCAGCTGAGGATGAGGGAGGAAGGAGGGGGCAGAGGGTGTGGAGTGCATTCAGTGGAGCTTGTCTGGGTGTTGCAGGCCACAGCTGCCCCTGCAGCCCGGCCCTGGCCAGCATGCACAGCTTCTGACAGGGCTGTTTCTGGTGCAGTTGCAGTGGCCTGTATGCTGCTCAGCTGCCCGCATTTTGAGGGGTGAAGGTCTGAAAGTTCCTCCCTGCCCAGAGCAGGAGAAGGAGGAAGCAAAGGGAGCTGAGCAGCATGTGGGCAGCTGTAGCTTCATTGGGAGCAGCCCCACCAGAAACTGGGCATGCTGAACACCATGCTGCCTGCCCGGTTGGGTCTCAACCCTATGTGGACTGCTGCAGGGGCAGACATGGGCTGAATCCAATCAGTTGGTAGCCACCACCCACAGGCCAGATTCAATCAGTTGGTGGGCTAGATGGGGCCCATGGGCCATATTGGGGGTTTATATATGTGTCCCAGGAGTTGATGGGGGGGCGGGGGAGCTTTAATTAGAGCAGCTCTGAGAGCATCACGTGTATCATTGTCATCATGCTAAAAATGGCAGCAGGGGTATTTTAGCTAAAGCTCATTCGACTAATCACATCTACTCCAATGTGCTGCAATTACAGCATGTCGGAGCAGCCTTGCTACATGTGTATAGGCACCCATTTTGCCCACCTTGGCTTATCTGGTTCTAGTTACTAATTAACAGGTATCCTAGTTTTCGGGGGGGGGGAACAAAAAAAAATCTGTTTAAATAACACGAATATCTGAGATTTTCTGCAACCTACCAAGAGGCAAAAACTGCAGCAAAAGTAAGTAATGGCGCCACACTTTTGGTAGGTTGTAGAAAAACATAGATTTTGCATTTTTCTGCAGTTTTCCATGACGAACAGAAGACTAGGGTGCCTGCTAACCAACGATGGGGACAATTTTTAGACGCTGCAGATCACTTGAAATCCTGTTGCACCTTTGTTATGCAACCAGCAACAAGGATGTCAAGGAAGCTGACCTTAGCAGCATGCAAAAAATCTATATAATTTTAACAGCCTAAGACTCTGATATTCTAGATAGAGCCAAAACGTTTCCACACATCTCCCTTCTCCCCAGCTTCCTACCATGCCTATGGTCTCTTTCACTGGATACAAAACACACACACTGAGATAATTCATTTTCTATTGTAATGTCTTGAGAGTAACCTTTCCAGCCAGAGGTGGGCCTGTCCCTAGAGAAACAACTCAAGAGTTTTGTGTCCGTTCTGGTGCGTGCTGAGCCAGATCTCTGTTGGTTTATTCTATGATGTATGAATACTCTGAAACTCACATGCATCATGCTTGGTGATCTGTCATAAGGACATTCCTGGGGTGTGATATCTCCATTTCCATATGGGAAAGAAAATCAAATCGTGCAAAACACAGATTGTAATTTGGCCTCTTATGAATATTAATTTACTGTATAGCCATTCTGTGCAGAGCTCTCCTTTGATATTTTCCTTTTTTAAGACTGCAACTGCATACTGATTAAGTAAGGATGTCTAGAAAATGATACGATGCCGATTATCCTGAGTCATATAAATAATAACATTTAATTGTGTGTATATTCTCGTGCCCAGAGCCCTCAGGGTGTTTTAACAAAAAAGAAACTAAAAACTAATTTAGAATAAAATAGGCAGTTATGCCTGATTAAATCCCACAATGGGAGCTAAGACTGAACATTCCTGACAAACAATACAAGCTGTGTAATACAAACTGTGTAAAAATGGCTGGCTTAAAAAGAAACTGAAGCCTTAAGCTTTACTTCGACTGCCTCTGTTCTAAATATCTTCTCATATATAGAAAGCCTGGATAATTCTGTAGCCTTCAGCAGAAGCTCTGCCTTGGACTACAGCAGGATGCTGCCATGGGAGGGTGATCATTTCCAGTGCCGCTGGCCTTGAGTCCCAGTATGTGCCACACAGTAGGGTCTTAAAATAGCCCTTTGTACTTCTATAGTGTTAGGTGGATGGTTTGAACATCACTTTGAAAATTTAATAGGAGATTGGGGGTGAGGTGGGAAGAATTTTAAATGTTGTCTTTTTGTAGCTTTTAAGACTTAATATAGGAACATATTTGTGTATTTATACAAAATAAATTCATTAATTCTTCTTTTAGGAAATGACCAATGAATCTCCAGTATTTATTGCCTTCAGATCTTCAACAAAAAAAAGCGTGCATTATGATGATGTACCAGACTACAAAGGCAGGTTGAGTCTTTCAGAAAATTACACTTTATCCATCAAGAATGCAAGGATCAGCGATGAAAAGAGATTTGTATGTATGCTAGTAACAGAGGACAACGTTTTTGAAGAGCCTACGATAGTCAAAGTGTTCAGTAAGTAAAATTTGTACTAACTACTAATAGCATTTGGGTCTGCCTGAATCAATAAATTAGGGATCCTCTGCTAAGAGAAAGATGAAAGCAAAAAGAGGAAAATATATTAAACTGAATCAATGACTGAGATTAGCAGGTTTCTGCCATAAAAAAGCTAAACTATCTCTAGCATCTGCAAAATGGGACTCCCTGTAGCCTCAGTATTTCACATGCCAAAAGTGTCAGTTTACAACAAAAGGAATTTCAGAGCTTGCTAATGAGTTACTTGTATATGCAGGTTACATAATTTGGCCCTAGAAAGGAAAAATGTAAAAAATTAGATCAGGGAATTTTTATTAGTTCAAGTGGCATATTATTAGCATTTCAAGGAATATATTTAAATATCTTCTAGCACCTGTGTCAAAGCAAAAAAAAAGCCTGAAAGAAAGACTGAGGAACAGGATACTAGCCAAAAATCATAATTTGTCCCCTTTTGCAAGGCAAACAGGAGAATTTTTTTTTTTAAATTCAGCTTTCCTTATTCTGAATCTGTGTTGAGCCATACGTATTTTTTGCACTCTGACTTGTGATACCATTTACACGTAATATATGGCTTAGATTTTCAAAAGTGAGCGTGAGAGTGGTTGGCTCAAGTGTTCCCAGCTCAACGCATCATTCAGACTTGACAAATCCTGAAGCTGCTAGAAACAAGATATCCATAATTACTAGTCATTACTGAAAATCTTGCCTGTGGCATTTACATCTGTGAGTAGACTCTCAGACTACAGTAGATTTCTTCCCTGCCTGGATTTCTAATTTTTTCCCCTCATTTGTCCACTCAAAATGCAGTGCACATATAATGTTTACCCAGTCAAATTAAGTATATGCTGTTTGGAAGTTTGAAAAGTTAAAAGCTATTTCAAATAGATTACATTTTGGTTCAAAGGATATATATTTTTAAAAAGCAATCAAACATATTGCCAATTGGAACTCCAAGCAGGAAAATAATGTCAGGGACTCTTCAGCATTAACCTCATGCTATCTTGACACAGTTTTGCCAGTGGCATGATCTGTTAGAAGGGGGACATGGAGTCAACAACAATTCTCCTTCCCTTGTTTCACTTTGATGTTTGACTGCAAGAACAATTAAATTAATGACAGCAGGGACAACAAGTGTGCTCGGAACATGCATAGAAAACATGCAGAGTTTTTGCAATGATGTGATAAAGAATTATCATGGTGACTTATCATGAAGGAGTAAATTTGTAGATGAGACTACTATATGGTAAACAAAATGCCAAGTAGGTGAAATACTGCATAAAATACAAGCAAACACAATGTTAACTCACCCTTGTTGGGCACCCTATATTTTTTTATGGTGTCTGTAGGAATTCTGTTTGGGCTAGGCTATAGTTATGGTAAGCTATAGTAAGCTACAGTGCCGAACATCAGTACAGGAGAAAGGGGACTCCTGAGCGCTGGATGACCTAATAAGAAAGGAAAAAAAATACACTAATGAACAAAAAGACACGGAAGGCAGTATGAAAACAGTAGCTCTAAACCGAGCCGTCCCTAGGTGTGTGCAGGGCCCGGGGCATAGCAGCCTGTGCAGGGGCGGGGAGGGGAGAGCGGGGCGAGCGGCCAGAGCTGGCAGTGGCAGCCATGGTGAGGCCTATATGGCATTGACCACGGGGCCCCCCAAAGCACGGGGCCTGGGGCAGTTGCCCCGATTCGTGCGCCCCCCGCCCCGGGTTTGCCCTTGCTACAGATATAAAAGATAGAGCTTACTAATGAGAGTGCAGGTATGTGAATCTGGCAAACAAAACAAATAAAGATGAACATCTTGACAGAGAGAGAAGAGTGGACACCAGATGTGGGGGCCAGGAGGGGTGAGGGTGGGTTACAAAAGTATAAATACAGGAGTGAGGAGACCTCTTAAAGACCTAGGGAAGCATGAATAACATATAATGTCTATATCAATGAAGGATAAGCTTCTCCAAGTTGGACTCAATGTTTATGAGACCAACTGATGTGCTACCCAATGATGATAAACCTTTCTGAGCTGTTGTCACTGAACATGTATCTGAGTTGTGTTTTCTGCATCGCCTTTGGGATCTGGAAGATGACTTGCTAACATCTGCCTTCCAGAACATACAGACTCCAGCAGTCTGTATATCAAAAGCAACAGTGACCAGATACCACCTGAGAAAACACTCCACACTCTTTAGAAGGGTGTCCTTATGTAGGAATAAAAGAAGATTACATTTAGCAAGAAATTTAAGAATAGAAAACATGTATGTAGCATGGGTGATTTAACACTGCCGGGAAAACTTTTACAGCAACCTATTTATGCATTTAGTGTTCCTAGTTCCATATAAACCTCCCAGGGAGCTTCTACATTTCTTGACCCATCCATATAGACACACTGCATAAACTCTGATTTCAAATGCCTGAAATTCAGATATGTCCCTTGAGGTTTGAGTTTCAGGCAAGCATTACAGCCTTAGTCACAAGTTAATCAGCTAGCATGGCTAACAAGCTTTACGGGTTGTACAGAAAACACCTGCTAAGTTTCATTTACTAGGTCAGGTAACAACCTCTGCCAGCTTTCCTGGTGTATCTTGTTAGCATCTTCATTTGGAGCTAAATGGCCTGAGGAGTTTCCAGGGCTTATCAGCAACAAACAGTCACAATTTTCTTGCCCTGCCATTTGACCTCTGCAGCAACCTCATTTAGTGCTCTTATAGAACAGCGGAGGTGCTATTTCAAGGTATTAAGTAGAGAAATAAGTGGCTGGCTGTAGTTAAAACCATCACAAAGTGTACTGTCATGTTATTAAGCCCTGAGCATAAGATTTCCTTCTATTTCAGATCATGAGCTTGTAAAATGCCTGGCAGCCAGTGAGCTCATGTGTAGTAACTCATCTGCATGCACACGTGCAGACCTGTTGCTATAGGGAATTGGCAGAATACACTGCTTCCTTCTCATCTGCAGCAGCATCTGCAGGAGGTCTTCGAGTAGGAGCTGCCTCCTAGTCCTCACATTGGGGCACACAAAGCATTTGAGATAGAGGGAAGACACCAGAGGAGGCACAGCACATTTTAAATTCGTTCAGTTTTTATCAGATTGGTGATCTAATGCTGTGAGAGAACTAATAATTTCTATTTACAGGATCCGTTGTCATGAGATAAGTGTGTAAAGAGTGGATCTGGCTGGCTGAGCAGGTGTTAAAACTTACTGTCCCTGCCAGTGCATACAGAAAATGGGTTAACCTACTTTTTTAACAAAACACTTCCCTCCCTGATGCCCACACAAAAAACAACATTACTTCTACTTTTAAAAAAATGCTCTAGTCTTTTTTGTGTTTGAGAACAACATGATGGTTTTTGATGCCTGGCTTTGGTTTTGTTTTTTTTTGCCTCCAGCAAGTTGTTTGAAAAATCCAAGTAAATAGGTTCCTCTATTGGGTTTTGTCTTTTGATCCATTGCTTTTTGTTTTGTTTGGACTAATCTTCCAAGTGCAGAAAAATGTATCTGAATATATAAAGAAAAGAGCTCAGAACGGAAACTGTATTTTTGTAGTAGGCTCGACCAGTGTGACCATTCAACTACAGATTAATAACTTTGTTTGCTTCTTTGTTCTGTTTTTATTGAAATTGTGTCAAGATGGTGTGAAAAGCATTTGGAACAGGATTACTAGTGTTGTTTGATAGAAGGTTTGATTTGAAAACACCGCTGCAAACTGAAGTGTGTGTAATGTATGCTTATTTAGAAGCACAGAGGTAGAGTGCAGAGACTTTCTTTGACTGCATAAGCACAGATACTTTTTTTCCTTCCATCTTGTAGGAATACAGTCCCTTGGAGATAAAAAATGTGCATTCCAGGCTTCAGGCCAGAGTGAATTTTACCAGACAAGCTATACCATCTCTAGAAAATAGTATTTTATAATGGAAACGCTGATAGATCCTCAGTTCTGGCAGCCTGAACAGTGTAACTACCATAAAAAAGAATGAATGAGATGATATATTAGTACTGAACAGAAAGTTTGCTTTTAAAAGAGATAGTCAAGATTTAAATCAAGTCCAGTTTTGAAAAATGAGGTAAAAAAGTTACAGATACTATGCTTGCCTCTGTCATATGTGCCCCCACACATTAAGTGTAACAATAGTAGGTTAAAATCTTAGAAGCAGGATTTGAGTATTTTTTCTTTAAAATGGGAAATCGCATCTGCTTTAATACCCACATTAAAACTGTTTTTCTATGTGACTATTTAATCTTTATCATTTGGTATTCATTTATTCCATTTGTTCATTTATTGGCAGTATACATAAACACATTAACACTAATTTTACATAGTCATGAAAAAACTGGCCCATTTAAAATGAAACCCATAATCTGTGTTTTATAAAATTTCCAGTGAGAGACCTTTTTTCCTCATAAACACACACACCAATATCTAGATGGGAGCAGTTTTTATAACTATGTTATAACCTGAAGACAAGGTTTAAGAATGAAAACAGTATGGTTCTCACACTTTCTCCAAGTCCATGTTGCTGAATGTTTATCCTGGAAAATGTAATCCTTTTATTAAAAAAAATTGAAATTTTGCATTCAGTTACCTGTACATTTTTTTTAATAGAACGACCATCTCAACCAGAAATATTGCATCAAGCAAACGTCCTAGAAACAGAGAAGCTAAAAATGGTAAGCTTTTTTTTGTCACAGACCTTGGGACTGACTCGAATGTTAATTCCAAAACATACTCCAATGTGCATTCTGGACTGAGAGTACCATGTGCATACATGGACAGGGACCAGTGTCTTGAGTACAGAGACTGAGATTACAGAACAAACTATTCATTCTCTTAGGAATAATAACAATGTGCTAGAAAATCAGCCCTCAGATATTTAGAATTATGGCTCAGCCTTGCCTTGGACAACCATTTATCACCACCCTCTTCCCCCCCACCTAATGCAAATCACATGCGTGATTTTAAGGAGAAAAATTGATTTAGCACTTGTATGTTAATGTTTTTTTTTTAATGTAAAAAGACAGTGTTCAATATTTCTTATCTGTTTTGCAGCTTGGGGAATGTGTTGCGAGAGACAGTTATCCAGAAGGCAACATTACATGGTACAAAAATGGAAATGTTTTGCATCATGATGCAGGAGGTAGGTTTCAGCCATGAACTACAACCATGGCCCTACAAGCATGTATGTGTGAGTAACTCTACTCATGAGTAATCTTAATTGAATTCAAAGTTTTATTCCTGTGAGCAAAGCTGCTCAAATAGGGCTTGGAAGAAGGGTAATATGGGTTATCAAGTCCATTCCTATGCTACTGCAGGCAACCACATTAGATAAACAGGCTTCATCTTTAAATTTGTGTTCTTCCAGTGGAAGACTATTGAAGCCCTTAACCCTCTGAGGATGAGAAATGGCCTTCGAATTCCAGCCTAAATTTATTCATAACTACTTTACACCCTTTTGCTCTTGTGCTGACGTTGTCCTTTAGCTTTGCTAGGTCTTCTCCTTCTTGGTATTTATTCCATGGTGCATTCAGAGGGCAATGTCATCCTCTCAGCTGTCATTTTGCTATGCTAAACAATCAAGCTTTTTTAGTCTCCTCCTATGGAATAGGGAATATGAGAATATCTTCAGGATTAAGGTTTAAGAGTGTCTTGATGTAGTTTGGGGTTTGTTTTGGGTTTTTTTTAAATAATTGTAATGTTTCCAAAATATTACATACATCTTTATTAAGGTTGAAGATATTTTTAAACCGTCTTAGAAAATTAATGAGTTTTGTCCCCCTCTTCCCCCACACAAACAAACAAACAAAAAACAATGGAAAGCATTGTTTTGACCATTGAATCGTATTTTGCATTGGGTTTTCTTGGATTGGCCAGGGACAGTACTGGGAGGAAAGCTGTTTGTACAGCCTCTACTGTAGGAATATAATTTAGGATCTAGGGAAATACGGCTAGAAGGGACCTCACAAGTTCATCTAGTCCATTCCTCTGCTCAAAGCAGGAGTGTCATTGACTAAGCCATCCCAACCAAGCGTCTGTCCAACCTCTTGAGAATGTCCAAGGATGGAGTTTCCGCAACTTCACTAGGGAGGCTGTTTGAATGCTTGACCACTCTCCTAGTCAGGAATTTCCTTCTGATCACCAACCTAAATTTCCCCTGCTGCAGTTTGAGGCCATTACTCCTAGTTCTGTCTTCTATAGCCATAGAAAAAAGCCTGTATACAGCCTCTCTCTAATTACCTTTTGGTCATTTGAAGACAGCTATCAAATCTCCCCTCACTCTTCTGTTCCCCAGACTAAATTATCTTAGTTCTTTCAGCCTTTCTTTCATAAACCTTGCATTTCCAGGCCCCTAGTCATTTTTATCGCACTGTACTGGACTCTTTCCAATATTTCCACATCTTTCTTGAAGTGTAGGACCTAAAACACCATGCAGTACTCCAGGTGAGGCTTCACTAATGCCAAACAGAGCAGAAGAATCATTTCCCTTTTTGCATGCAACACTTCTGTTAATACAACCCAGGATGCTTTTGGCTTTTTTTGCAACAAGAGCATGCTATTGCTTATATTCTTCTGATGGTACTTACTAATCCCAGGTACTTCTCTTCAGTAGCCTAGACAGTCAAATTAAGGAGTCTGTATTTGTGTATGCACTTATTCCATCCCAAGTGCAGGATTTCACACTTGTCCTTGTTCAGTCTCATCTGGTTGACTGCAGACCATTTTTCCTTTCTGTCCAGGGTCCCTGGAAGAAGGAACCCTGTGAATCACGTCTTAAGTGATTAATCACTTAAGTGTGTCTTTAGTACATAAGCCATGAAATTATTACACAGAGTACACGTAATAATTTTGTGTGTGGTTCCCATCATGCCATGAATGGAACATGTGACCAGTGTGCTCCCAGGGCTGAGAGTGCCAGTCCATTGATCAGTGCTCTTGGCCTCAGGAACAACAGTCAGCTGACTTGTGCTCCCAGCCTCAGAAGCACATGAGGCTCTTGATGATTTCATGTGCGTCTATAGCTAGGGGTGCCAATCAGCTGACCAGTGATCCCAGCCATGGGTGCACACCAGAGCCCTTCAAGGCTCAGCTGCACTTCCAAGGTTGGGGGTGCCAATCATTAGCACCAGGCACCCAGCTTGCTACTTGTCAGTGTAGGAGGAATCCAGGATCATGATCCCAGGCTCCCTTGTACAGACAATAAGTCAAGATTAGGATCTCATCCACAATCACGCCTTGTGCCAGGCACGTGTGTCATAGCTGGAGGTACAATTTTTGGAATTAGATCAGATCCCATCATGCCTTTAATTGAATATCTGTCTGCAGTCCAGGTCACTCTGGATCCTAGCCCTACCCTCCAGAATGTCTGTAACTCCACCCAACTTGGTGTTATCAGCAACTTAATATATTGCTTGTTTGAAATGAATGCTGTGTATTCAGGTGCCAAGCAGCAG